CTGTGATGCACCCTCCTTGCCCTACCTCATTTTCTGTTTCGGGTTGATCCTGAAGTGTCAAAGTGTCCTCGTTTTATAGCCATTTTCATTGTTTCTATAGAATAGTAGTTACTATCCTAGTGTCTCATTTGTATTAACTTAGTTTACATGTTTTAATAATTATTATTGTAAAGCGCTTAGAGCTTTATGATAAGCGCTATATAAAAATGTCTAAATAAATAAATAAAATAAAATACCTATCTACTTACCACCCTATACCATAAACAACCTATCTACTTACCACCCTATACCATAAACAATCTATATACTTACCACCCTATACCATAAACAACCTATCTACTTACCACCCTATACCATAAACAATCTATCTACTTACCATCCTATACCATAAACAACCTATCTACTTACCACCCTATACCATAAACAATCTATCTACTTACCATCCTATACCATAAACAACCTATCTACTTACCACCCTATACCATAAACAATATATCTACTTACCACCCTATACCATAAACAACCTATCTACTTACCACCCTATACCATAAACAATCTATCTACTTACCACTCTATACCATAAACAACCTATCTACTTACCACCCTATACCATAAACAACCTATCTACTTACCACCCTATACCATAAAAAAATATATCTACTTACAACTCTATACCATAAACACTCTATCTACTTACCGGGGTAGATCTCATTTAAATGATCTTAAAATAGAAGCTATCCTAACAATGTGGTATTGGATTGGTGGAAAGCCGGGTTATTCTAAAGTGGGTTTATTGTAACAGTACTGACTTGTAAGAGGGGTAAATATGCGGAAATTTATGCATGTGGAAAAACCCGTTTCCTTCTTGTCTGCTAAGTTTGTAGACATAGTTTCGGTTCCTGGCAACTTGATAGATCTGTCAGAAGTGAACCGTTGGGGTATCTTGTCTGTGTGGGCCGAGGTCGGACTTCTGACATCCCCTGACCTTTCACTTCTGACACCACTTGACCTTTGACCTCTGGCATCACCTGACCTGTGACGCCAAGCATACAAAAACGTATGTCGTTAATCATCATACTATTGATGACGTCTTGCATTTAGTTCCCTCACTTAATGCCCTCATTCTATGCGCACAAGACTCTTTCACTTATTCAGTGACTTACAGCAACCATTAGATATAAATAGGCTGCTTTTACGGCCTACCACCCCGGCCTCCTCATCCATGGATCAGTTTTATCGTTGAACCTTATCCACCCTGGATTACCGTGTCTTCTGGCCCCCGCCCAAAAAAAATGATTTCGTGTTTTATTTTGAAATTTACATTTGATAAGTCTGACAGGATGAGATAATGATTGTAATATTGTTTCGTAGCTATAAATTAACGTTTCTTATTCCATTAGATCAGCTGTTCTCAACCCGTGGGTCGCGACCCCTTTTGGGGTCGAATAACCCTTTCACAGGGGTCGCCAAGGACCATTGGAAAACACATATAAGCTACAGTTGTAAAGTAACAACGTAAATAATACTGTGGTTGGGGGTCGCAACATCATGAGGAACTGTATTAAAGGGTAGCGGGATTAGGAAGGTTGAGAACCACTGCATTAGATGATGTGTTGAATCAGAGTTAAACAAGAAGGTCCACTACCCCACGGGCTGGTGTCGTGTGTGGGGAGAGTTGGTGAAACATTATTTAAATAGTCACGATAGGTTAACGAAATCTTTTATTCTCATGAACACATGAAAGGGGATCGGCTGTAAAGATGCTGACAGCAACCACCCTGTCACGGTCACCCCTGTCACAGTCGCCCCTGTCGCTATCACCCCTGTTGCAATCATCCCTGTCACAGTCCCACCTGTCAAAGTCACCCTTGTCAAGGTCACCCCTGTCACAGGCAACCATGTCACAGTCACCCCTGTCACAGTCACCCCTGTCACAGTCATCCCTGTCACAGTCATCCTTGTCACAGTCATCCTTGTCACAGTCACCCCTGTCACAGTCATCCTTGTCACAGTCGCCCCTATCACGGTCACCCATGTTACAGTCACCCCTGTCACAGTCATCCTTGTCACAGGCATCCATGTCACAGTCACCCTATCACAGTCACCCCTGTCACAGTCATCCTTGTCACAGTCGCCCCTGTCACAGTCACCCTTGTCACAGTCACCCTTGTCACAGTCGCCCCTGTCACAGTCACCCTTGTCACAGTCACCCTTGTCACAGTCACCCCTGTCACAGTCACCCTTGTCACAGTCACCCTTGTCACAGTCACCCTTGTCACAGTCACCCCAGTCACAGTCACCCCTGTCACAGTCACCCTTTTCACAGTCACCCTTGTCACAGTCGCCCATGTCACAGTCACCCTTGTCACAGTCACCCTTGTCACAGTCGCCCCTGTCACAGTCACCCTTGTCACAGTCACCCTTGTCACAGTCGCCCCTGTCACAGTCACCCTTGTCACAGTCACCCCTGTCACAGTCACCATTGTTACAGTCATCCTTGTCACAGTCACCATTGTCACAGTCATCCATGTCACAGTCACCCTTGTCACAGTCGCTCCTGTCACAGTCGCCCCTGTCACAGTCACCCTTGTCACAGTCACCCCTGTCACAGTCACCATTGTTACAGTCACCCTTGACACAGTCACCATTGTCACAGTCATCCTTGTCACAGTCATCCTTGTCACAGTCACCCCTGTCACAGTCACCCTTGTCACAGTCACCCTTGTCACAGTCGCCCATGTCACAGTCACCCTTGTCACAGTCACCCTTGTCACAGTCGCCCCTGTCACAGTCACCCTTGTCACAGTCACCCTTGTCACAGTCGCCCCTGTCACAGTCGCCCCTGTTGCAGTCGCCCCTGTCACAATCTCCCCTGTCACAGTCACCCCTGTCACAGTCACCCCTGTCACAGTCACCCCTGTTGCAGTCGCCCTTATCACACTCAGCCCCGTCACAGTCACTACTGTCACAATCGCCCCTGTCACAATCGCCCCTGTCACCCCTGTCATATAAATTCACAAACCAACACAAAAAAACATGATTCACTCCGCGTGTCTGGCACTAACGCTAAGAGAGACAACCCTTGGAACAGCTTTGTATTGTCAGCATATGCAGTTGTTTTACTGGAGCTTTCTTCACCACAGAAACCACATGCGTCAGCTCAATTCAGAATGACAGATTGACAGAGCACAATACTCAACGGAACGGAAATAAATCAGTTGACGCAACTCATGCGCAGCGTACTGCAGATAATCACAGCCAATCCGAGGAGCAAGTAAAACCCCGTGATCATTGTTACGTCACAGATGTAAATAGCGAAGTGGTTGAAATATAACTATAAGTTTATTTATTTATTTTTTAAATTTATATAATGATATAAAAACTGTTTATTTTAAAATTGAGTTGTTCTCAGGCTGAAAAAAAACAACAATATTTTTATCGTTTCAGTTTTTGAGAATCTCGACCAATAACAATGCTCATTATAACAATGCAACTATCACACGTGATAATTTCAACGTTGTCAAGAAAAGTAACAATATCCATAGCGTCACGTGGCATTGCATTGTACATTTATTTATTTTTAAAATGTACATTAAAGCACTGGCAAATAACGTACACAAATGAACCAACACAAAAGACTTGATAACTTCAGAGAGAGATGGGAGGCAGTTCATCACCATCACCGGACAGTTCCAATCATCCCACGACAGTTTCAACAGTCACGGGGTTGCCGTCCGTCTCGGCGCCGAGCCTGTTGACGGCGGTCACCACGTAGACCCCGGTGCCGCTGACCGCCAGGGACGTGGTGGCCGCGTGGACGACCCTGACCAGCGTGCAGGCGTTGGCGGCACTGTGGTACACGGCCCACGACCGCACGTCGTCCTTCTTGCTGGCGCTCCAGTCGAGGGTGGCGCCGTTGGCTTTCACCACCGGGGCGGCAGGCGCGGCGACACCGCTTCTGTACGTGTAGACGTCCGGGAGCGCCGGGTGCTGGTAGACCGACGATTTGAGGGTCGTGAAAAGCCCCTGGGGGATAGAAACACAGGTGAGAGAGTTTTAGTTGGAGACATTCCATTACACGATTAAACGTTTGAAACGAACTCACATGTTTAGTGTCGATACACAATGGATCTCACAGAAAACCTGGCTCAGAGTTAAATCTGCAGGCCAAATTAGGCAAAGAGAAATCTGCCATTTGGGATCCGGCTGCTGAAAAATAACACCATCCGTTAACCTTTTGAAATCAAGTGGAATGTGGCTATGTGGCTAATTATTTCTGTTAACATTGCGTCAACGCATTTCGAAAAGGCTAGTTGCGACAAGTCCATGATTTTGTTGAAACAATCAACATGACATAATGATGACATCACCAGGCGAGAGTGGATATTATGGCGTCGTCGTGATGTGTCGATGACGTCACCATAAGATGATGGTGCAACGGGAGGTGTTGATGACGTCACCGGCGCTGACGTCATCATCACTAGACGACGACGTAAACACACCAAGCCCCTCCCCAACCCCCTCCCCCCCCCGCCCACAAGACGATGGCGATGACGTGAGTACCACGACTTACATGCACGTTGGTGTCCACGTGTTTGGCGCTGTAGTGTATGACGCCCCAGACGCTGTGGTTGGTCCTGGCCTGAGTCAGCTGGATCTGGTGGAGGATCTCATTGGGGCTCCAGTTGTTGGCAAGGATTCTGTTAGAGTGGGAACACACACATATACAAAACATGGAGCATCAGTTGGCGTACAGCTAACTGCTACATGGCTGGGCTTCAGGCCGATCCAAGAATGTTTCATCAATGTAAAAAAAAAATGGCTTTAAAAATAATGAGTAGCAATTTTTTATCGACCAATGTAATGATGGAAGGGATGAATAAATGAATGCTTGTGTACTGATGTAGTCTTGATTATACAATGAATATACTCGTGGCTGTAGTATTGGCTGTTAAAAGGACACATACTTTTTCTTAAAGAGGGTTTCTCTTTATCAGCGTGCAATGCAATGATCAGTCAAGCTATTCACCTCCACCTCCACCTTCACCTCCATCTTCACCTCCACCTTCACCTTCACCTCCACCTCCACCTCCACCTTCACCTCCACCTCCACCTTCACCTTCACCTCCACCTCCACCTCCATCTTCACCTCCACCTCCACCTTCACCTCCACCTTCACCTCCACCTTCACCTCCACCTTCACCTCCACCTTCACCTCCACCTCCACCTTAACCTCCACCACTCCACCTACACCTTCACCTTCACCTCCACCTCCACCTCCATCTTCACCTACACCTCCACCTTCACCTCCACCTTCACCTCCACCTTCACCTCCACCTTCACCTCCACCTTCACCTCCACCTCCACCTTCACCTCCACCTTTACCTCCACCTTCACCTCCACCTCCACCTTCACCTCAGCAACTACCAAACACAAGCAAACACCAGCTCAACAACCTGTAGTCCGCCAAGCCCGCATACACATGACGATGTAACGGGTTCTGGGCCGGCTCAGACCACCAGTCAATGAGCTTCGTGAAACTCTGTGGTCCGTCGATGACCCAGTACAGTTGTGGGGCGATGTAATCGATCCACCCCTTCTGTAACCAGTGCCTGGAGTCAGCGTAGAGGGCGTCCACGCTTGAGGTACCTAAGCCACAAGAGATGAGAACCCCTTGACCTCTAGTTTACTACTTTTCCCTGAATAAAAATCTTTGCTTTGTCGGGCCCCTTAAAATGTGTGTTGTAATATCTGACCAGACAAACCGTTCACATATATAGGCTAATGTCTGCTAAGACAAACAAGCCATTGACAAGCATTACAATGTCTGATCTGTTTGACTGTAACTCCTCATCCCTCACACCATGTTTAGAACCGTCAATGTTGGCCCAAATGTTATGTGTGGTTGAGGTCAGGGGCGTGGGGGGAAGTCGGTCCGTGTAGGGATTCACAAACTCTAGTATCCTCCACTGTTTGGAGTTCCAACTGTATTTTGATTGTTGATAAACGATGACAACTCCTCCCGTTGTCCTGGCTAAAGTCACTTACTTGTACCATCTGGGGCATAGGTCGTCTAAAAGAATTTCATATTCATCTCGGTCCTGTGCTTTTCTTTCCAGTTGTTTCCAGGTTTATCCCACTCTGTGTGTCTCTGCCTCCAGCTCACGTCTCCATGTATTATATGGCCTTCCTCTCTTTCTTTTTCCCAGTTGATTCCATGTTAGGGATTGTCTGGTGATGTTATCTGGGGTTTACGAAGAGTGTGCTCTATCCACCTCCATCTTTTCCTTATGATGTCTTCAGCAACAGGATCCTTTTGTGTCCTTTCTATCAGGTCTATGTTCGTGATGGCGTTTGGCCATTTGATGTTCAGGATCTTTCTAAGGCTAGTGTTTTTGAGGTTCTGTTCTTTCTGCGTAGTGCTGGCTGTTGTTCTCCAAGATTCGGCTCCAAAGAGGACTGTTCATAGAGTAGGACTGTTCATAGAGTAGGACTATTCATTGAGTAGGGCTGCTCATAGAGTGGGCTGTTCATAGAGTAGAGCTGTTCATAGAGTAGAGCTGTTCATAGAGTAGGGCTGTTCATAGAGTAGAGCTGTTCATAGAGTAGGACTGTTCATAAAGTAGGGCTGTTCATAGAGTAGGACTGTTCATAGAGTAGGACTGTTCATAGAGTAGGGCTGCTCATAGAGTGGGCTGTTCATAGAGTAGAGCTGTTCATAGAGTAGAGCTGTTCATAGAGTAGGGCTGTTCATAGAGTAGGGCTGTTCATAGAGTAGGACTGTTCATAAAGTAGGGCTGTTCATAGAGTAGGACTGTTCATAGAGTAGGACTGTTCATAGAGTAGGACTGTTTATAGAGTAACACTGTTTGACATTTATGTTGACATATCTAATAATATGCTTGTTCGTAATGTAATGTATGTAAAGAAACTACTGCTCACCCACAACACCAGCTGGTTGGCCAGATTTCCAGATTCCAAATGGACTGACTCCGAATTTAATCCACGGCTTAGCTTGGTGCATGCTGGTGAGGAAAGCAAACACACCTGTTGCAATCTATGTTTGATTTTTAATGTTGTAAGATATACAATGGATGGTTTTTTTTTTTTTTTGACACTGGATATTTCTTATCATTGATAATTTTTACAATGGATATCTACCCTTGAACAAAATGAAACTATAAACATTACGGTGCTCCACAATATTTGGTCAATAAACTAACTTTCAATGTTCAATGGTCCGGCCCACCTAATGAGTTTTTCTATGTACAATAACAATATAGGAAAAATATCCTGGAATTTTTAAAACGTTTAACGGTAGCTTAACGGTAAGCCCATTAGTATAAACTCCTGCATGAGAGCCACACCTCTCTCTCTCTCTCTCTCTCTCTCTCTCTCTCTCTCTCTCCCTCTGATGTTCAACTCAGAGAGTCACACCACACTACGAGAGACAGACCACACTAAGAGAAACAATATTTGGTCAATAAACTAACTTTCAATGTTCAATGGTCCGGCCCACCTAATGAGTTTTTCTATGTATAATATCAATATAGGAAAAAAATCCTGGAATTTTTAAAACGTTTATCGGTAGCTTAACGGTAAGCCCATTAGTATAAACTCCTGCGTGAGAGCCACACCTCTCTCTCTCTCTCTCTCTCTCTCTCTCTCTCTCTCTCCCTCTGATGTTCAACTAAGAGAGTCAGACCAAACTACGAGAGTCAGACCAAACTAAGAGATTCAGACCAAACTACGAGGGTCAGACAAAACTAAGAGATTCAGACCAAACCAAGAGAGTCAGACCAAACTAAGGGAGTCAGACCAAATTAAGAGGGTCAGACCAAAGTAAGAGAGTCAGACAAAACTATGAGGGTCAGACCAAACTAAGAGAGTCAGACCAAACTATGAGGGTCAGAGCAAACTAAGAAAGTCGGACCAAACTAAGAGGCTCAGACCAAACTAAAAGAGTCAGACCAAACTATGAGGGTGAGAGCAAACTACAAGGATCAGACCAAACTAAGAGATTCAGACCAAACTAAAATAGTCAGACCAAACTAAGAGAGTCAGACCAAATTAAGAGGGTCAGACCAAAGTAAGAGAGTCAGACCAAACTAAGATAGCCAGACCAAACTAAGAGAGTCAGACCAAATTAAGAGGGTCAGACCAAAGTAAGAGAGTCAGACCAAACTATGAGGGTCAGACCAAACTAAGAGAGTCAGACCAAACTAAGAGAGTCAGACCAAACAAAGAGATTCAGATTTAGTGGTCTATCAGCTTACTTTGTTGAGAGCCTCTCTATGAGTTTGTTGACATTGTCACGCCTCCAGTCTGCATGTGACAGTTGACCGCCAGCGTTCTAAGATTACAGGGAGTAAAGGAGGAAATGACGTCACATGTAATTCAGTCGTGGTTGGTTCAAAGTTTAAAAAGAAAGAAACTTAAAAAGTATGTCATACAAAGTTAAACTTAAATATCATAAAACCATGCGAACCTCAAATAATATTTACTTTATACAAAGTCAAAACCTATTATTTTTTAAAATTTCAATTTTCAGGAATGTTAAAAATACGTTTATTTAGATTAAGTCCCATTTCTTTATTTAGAGGGAAATCTTTTACATTCGGAGTCGTACGCAAATTACGTCACTGAAAAAAAAGACATTTTAGACCCCCTCCAACCTGTCACAAATTATTTAACCCTCCCCTAAAGTGTCACGTCAAACATATAAAATCAAAACATGCATACAAAACATACATAACATTTTCATAACTAAACTAAGATTTTATTTTATTCTTTAACATTTTCCCATAATGGATTAAGATGTCGTATCATTAGAAATCTGTGTCGCGAGAAAACGAAGTCATCCACAAGCCGAATGTAAGGTGGAAACTACAGTTTTTGCGTCATTTTTCGATATGCGCAGAAAGTGCGCACGACCGAATTTCACGGTACCTATAATACCAGAGGCAATTTTAAACTTAAATTAATTTTTTTTAAAAATTAATTGAATATAGAATTTTCAAAATTAGAAAAAAAATAAATAAATACACACATTAAGTAGGATATGTATTAATTATTAAATAACATAGCAATTAATTAATATGTATTATTATATAAATAAAAATTATTAACTTAAATTAGGCCTTTACAAGAATAAAACTAGATACTAAGGTAGAATTTATGCAGGAGATATGAGTACCACACTAGAGACTGAGGTAGAGTTTATGAAGGAGAGATGAGAACAACACTAGAGACCAAGGTAGAGGTTATGAAGGAGAGATGAGTACAACACTAGAGACTGAGGTAGAGTTTAAGAAAGAGAGATGAGTCCAACACTAGAGACTGAGGTAGAGTTTATGAAGGAGAGATGAGTACAACACTAGAGACTGAGGTAGAGTTTATGAAGGAGAGATGAGAACAACACTAGAGACCAAGGTAGAGGTTATGAAGGAGAGATGAGTACAACACTAGAGACTGAGGTAGAGTTTATGAAGGAGATATGAGTACACCACTAGAGACTGAGGTAGAGTTTATGAAGGAGAGATGAGTACAACACTAGAGACTGAGGTAGAGTTTATGAAGGAGAGATGAGTATAAACACTAGAGACTGAGGTAGAGGTTATGAAGGAGATATGAGTACAACACTAGAGACTGAGGTAGAGTTTATGAAGGAGTGATGAGTACAACACTAGAGACTGAGGTAGAGTTTATGAAGGAGAGATGAGTACAACACTAGAGACTGAGGTAGAGTTTATGAAGGAGATATGAGTACAACACTAGAGACTGAGGTAGAGGTTATGAAGGAGATATGAGTACAACACTAGAGACTGAGGTAGAGTTTATGAAGGAGATATGAGTACAACACTAGAGACTGAGGTAGAGTTTATGAAGGAGATATGAGTACAACACTAGAGACTGAGGTAGAGTTTATGAAGGAGAGATGAGTACAACACTAGAGACTGAGGTAGAGTTTATGAAGGAGATATGAGTACAACACTAGAGACTGAGGTAGAGGTTATGGAGGAGATATGAGTACCATACTAGAGACTGAGGTAGCGTTTATGAAGGAGAGATGAGTACAACACTAGAGACTGAGGTAGAGTTTATGAAGGAGAGATGAGTACAACACTAGAGACTGAGGTAGAGTTTATGAAGGAGAGATGAGTACAACACTAGAGACTGAGGTAGAGTTTATGAAGGAGAGATGAGTACAACACTAGAGACTGAGGTAGAGGTTATGAAGGAGAGATGAGTACAACACTAGAGACTGAGGTAGAGTTTATGAAGGAGATATGAGTACAACACTAGAGAATGAGGTAGAGTTTATGAAGGAGATATAAGTACATCACTAGAGACTGAGGTATAGATTTTATGAAGGAGATATGAGTACAACACTAGAGAATGAGGTAGAGTTTATGAAGGAGATATAAGTACATCACTAGAGACTGAGGTATAGATTTTATGAAGGAGATATGAGTACAACACTAGAGAATGAGGTAGAGTTTATGAAGGAGATATGAGTACAACACTAGAGACTGAGATAGAGTTTTTGACCTTAGGCTGCGTGGACACCAAGACGTTGTTGCTACTCACCTTGTAAGCGTTCCACGTGGTGGTGTCAGGGAATGGATCTGCTGTTGGGTATGGATAAAAATAGTCATCAAAGTGGACACCGTCAATGTCGTATCTCGTGACAACATCCATGATCACGGCGTTAACTCTGTCCTGGAGTGGACATTGAAGACAATGTCTTTAAACATGATCACGTTACAATGTAAGCATTTTATTCAACATTTAGTTACTAATCATGAACAGTGGCCAGGGGATGTCAATGAAAAAATTCACGTAAATGTTTCAAGAAAAGCTTCACAGTGATTTTTGCAGTGATTTCTTTCAGTTGGTCAATATACCCCCCCTCCCCTCCCCTCCCCTCCCTTTTGACTGTGTACCTGAACTTCTTTACTGCCTGGATCCATCCACAGATTGCCGCCGTATGGGTGCGCATGCGCTGGGATAGCCCTAGCCATGTGATTGGCCGCCAGTCCGGTGGTGGATGTTGACCCAGATCTTGCCCTGATGGACGATAATGCCAGGCCAATAACGTTAGAAAAAAGGTCATGAAGTAGATGAATTCATACGTGAATAAGTGAGACTTACCTGTATGAATTAGTAAGACCTATCTAAATAAATAATTGAGACTTGCCTGTATGAATAAATGAGACTTAACTGTATGAATTAGTGACACTTACCTAAATGAATAAGTGAGACTTCTTCTTCTATATCTTAAGGGCCCACGATCAATTTATTGATCATTTTGGGTCTTATGCATGTAGATGGGATTTGCAATGTTTCTGTTCCTGGTGTTGATGAGGAAATCATGCACTAGGGGTTTGAAGGCTTGATGCAATAGACACAAATGTGTCTAGTGTTGTCGCCTCAACCGTTCCTTTTGAAAGCTTGTTCCAGTCCCTGATTGTCTTGGGCAGGAATGAGCAGCTCCTATACTGGCTTCTTGATGGTATGAGCCTGAATTGCCTGTCATGGCCTCGTCGCTGTCTATGGGGGAGAGGGACGAGTTTCTGTTTAATACTGGAACAGTGGACCAGCCCATTATTTATCTTGTACATCATGGAGAGCCTTGATTGTCGTCGTCGTTTCTCCAATGGTGACCAGCCTAGTGTTTCTAGCATGCTGTAGCGGTTTAGGACAAAGCGTGCTGCTCGTCGCTGGACCGCCTCCAACTTGTCAATGCTCTTCTGGGTAAATGGGTCCCAGACTGAAGATGCATAATCTAAAATCGGACGGATAAAGGCTTTATATGCTCTTTCTTTCACACAGGAGTTGCCAATCTTTAGATTTCGCCTTAAGAACCCTAGGGTCTTGTTTGCTTGGTTACATACATTGTTAATATGCTCGTCCAGCGGACCTCTCTTTGAATGGTAACACCCAGGTACTTTACGGAGGAAACTTGCTCAAGAATATGGCAGTGCAGTTTGTATTGGTAGTATAGAGGAGTACAACTTCTAGAGACTGATAGTGTCTGGCACTTGGCAGGGTGAAATTCCATGTCCCAGCTCACCTCCCACTCAGCTAACATATTGAGATCCTGTTGTAGCTGGTCCTGGTCAGATCTGTTGGCGATCGTCCTATACACTGCTGTGTCATCTGCGAACAGTCTTGCCTGTGATGTCAGTTTCTTTGTTTATTTGTAAGAGTAAGACCTATCTAAATGAATAAGTGAGACCTACCTGTATAAATTGGTGAGACTTACCTGAATGAATAAGTGAGACTTACCTGTATGGATTAAACCAAGCGTGGACTTCGATATTTCTGGAATGCGCCTCGGTCACCAAGAACTGCAGTGGATCCCAGGCAGGACTCGGGGCCGTCCCCTGATGTCCAGTCAGCCATGTGCTCCATGGCTCGATGGTCGAGTGGTAGAAGGCGTCCCCAGCAGGTCGGACCTAGGGGTTAAAGGTGAGGTTCTTTGTACTTCTACAAGAGCAAATGATGGGTCTGTACGTTCTACACTCTCAGGTTGACACAATAAAGTATGGGCAAATCCAAGAGAGACCTCTCAATCAATCTTCTATACCAGCTACAAACGACTGGATGCCATGGTGTCATTGGTGCCACCAATGGATGTCATTGTGTCATTGGTGCCACCAATGGATGTCATGGTGTCATTAGTGCCACAAATGGATGTCATGGTGTCATTGGTGCCACCAATGGATGTCATGGTGTCATTGGTGCCGCCACTGAATGTCATGGTGTCATTGGTGCCACCAATGGAAGTCATTGTGTCATTGGTGCCACCAATCGATGTCATGTGTCATTGGTGCCACCTATGAATGTCATGGTGTCATTGGTGCCACCAATGGGTGTCATTGTGTCATTGGTGCCACCAATGGATGTCATGGTGTCATTGGTGCCACCAATGGATGTCATTGTGTCATTGGTGCCACCGATGGATGTCATGGTGTCATTTGTGCCACCAACGGATGTCATTGTGTCATTTGTGCCACCAATGGATGTCATTGTGTCATTGGTGCCACCGATGGATGTCATGGTGTCATTTGTGCCACCAACGGATGTCATTGTGTCATTTGTGCCACCTTTGGATGTCATGGTGTCATTGGTGCCACCAATGAATGTCATGAAGTATTTTTTTCCACCAACGGATGCCATTTGTGGATGCTATGTTGTCATTGATGATACAAAGCCATAAGATAATTTGTTTGGGTTGAATGCAGAACAACTTCTCGTTTAAGATTACTACAAAAGCACAGTTGTATTCCAACTGCTAATTTGGTCCATATTTCACTTGTGTTTTAGATGTTACTTACATAACAGTTATATTTGATAAATGTGTGAGTTGTACCCAGCGTGTTCTATTGTAACAGAATCTATCAAATTCTATTTGTAAAAAAATCTGTGAAATTCTTCCTCTTAGGTTCTATTTGTTATATTCTTTCGTTTATATTTGACCTATTCTATATTGCTCTATTTGACCTATTCTATATTGCTCTATTTGACCTATTCTATATTGCTCTATTTGACCTACCCAATACCGCTCTATTTGACATATTCTATATCATTCTTTTTGAAATATCCTGTATCAGTTCTTTTCGAGATATTCTATAACTGGTCCGTTTGACCTATTCTATATCGTTCTATTTGACCTATTATATATATCAGGTTTTTTAAAACTTTTCTATATCAGGTTTATTTGACCTTTTCTATATCAGTTCTATTTGACCTAATCTACTTCAGTTCTAATTGACATATTCTATATCGTTATATTTGACCTATTCCATATCAGGTCTATTATACCTATTCTATATCAGGTCTATTTGACCTTTTCTATATCAGTTCTATTTGACCTAATCTACTTCAGTTCTAATTGACATATTCTATATCGTTATATTTGACCTATTCCATATCAGGTCTATTATACCTATTCTATATTAGGTCTATTTGACCTCTTCTATATCAGTTCTATTTTGCCTATTCTATATCAGTTTTTTTTTTTGACCTACTCTGTATTAGTTCTATATCCCCTATTCTAAATCAGGTCTATTTGAACAAAGCTGTATAAGTTCTATTTGACCTGTGATCTATTGAGTAAATGTCATGAGCTATTCCGTGGCTTACCTGAAAGAAGACGGCGTTGATGGTCTGAGAGTGTAGCGAGTCTAGCAAAGCCTTGAGGTCAGCCTCGTTCTGACTTGTCGTGCGAGTGCTGGACTTTGGCCAGTCAATGTTGCTGACAGTGGCGATCCAGGCGCCCCTGAGTTCACGTTTGGTGCGGCCTGCGCTGCATGCTGGGATCCACAAGAATCATTCATGCATGAACTCAATGAAGTTTGGTCATTAAGCTATTTTTATATACATGGTACTTTGGATGTATAAAAGATGTGAAGTTGGCAATGATGGCATCTACATGTTGGAGAAGTTTATTATCTCTTATCAGGGGCGTTACTTTGACAAAATGCTGCCTGAGGCGAGTCCTAAGAGTGCACAACCATAACACATTTACATCCCTTTGCACCTGCCTATGTTCCTCACTGTATATTGTGATTTACCAAATACACTAAAATCGTAAATGGTTATCTCTTACTAAGTATCCCGTAATACAAATAAGATAATAGTTACACCTCTTACTTCAAATAATATAATATTTTTATCTCTTACTGCAAATAAAATATTATTTATATATCGGGGTATTTGAATATTTTGCATCTGACTTGTTAAAAATTTGACTCAATATGGTCGATGTCCATGTCTTTGTCTACGTCATGTGCGTGGACCGATTTGAGCCATTTTAAACCAACTTTCTCACAATTTAAAAAAGATGAACTTTGTGGCACCTCCGACTCTTGGGACAGTCCCTATTTGTTTCGTTTCTTCTTGACTTTTGTTTCATTCAACATTTTGTCGATTTAGATATAAACTATTTTTTTGGTCGTGAATAATTGTTGGTTTGTTTGTTTAATGGTAGAAGGTGCATCAAGAGACCGTGCACATCTGCTGGTCAAAGACATTCTCGGACAAGTCTAACAGCTGAGTATCCTGAACGCTCTTATTACATTGAATACCACTTACCCGACTGCACAGATGCCACCATAAGATGACTTATCTGACTGTACGGGGCCACAAAAGGATGCCAATCCTGAATGTACGGGGGCCACAAGAGGATGACTTACCCGACTCTACAGAGGCCACCAGAGAATGACTTACCTGACTGCACAGAGGCCACCAGAGAATGACTTACCTGACTGGACAGAGGCCACCAGAGAATGACTTACCTGACTGCACAGAGGCCACCAGAGAATGACTTACCCGACTGGACAGAGGCCACCAGACCAGTGAACAGAAAAAACACCTTTAGAAACATGGCGGCACTTTGAAATCAAACTCAGATTTAGGAGATATGACAAGTTACACATTACAAAAATAGTTGTGTTTTTATGTCAGGATTTTAAGCGGTAAGGGTTTCTTCTTTGGTCACCTTAAAAAATACAAGAATTGAAAGCTTTTCAAATTGTTAAGACTCTTATATCTGGCATAAAGGTTTTCATCTCATCTGTTTGCTATGTCTGGTAGACCAGGAGTTGCTCATCTTTCTGCTCCGTTTGATCTGTAGGTTCTATTTTATGTGTATGTGTGTAATTAGATATATTTATGAAGTCTATCCCACCTGTTCCCCATTTAATAATACATATGAAGCATGTCTGATGGGTTTGTTCTGTCTGATCTGTATCACGTCCTTCTTAAAAGTCTGTCTGTAAGTTAAGAGCGTTTTGTCCTATGGTCGTTCATCTTCTCTATTTCGTGATGTTTTATACTTGACGTCACGTGTCTCAAACCCAGTTTGTGTTTGGTTAGCCAGTGTTTCTGTCCGTCTGTCTGATAAAAGCTTTGTGGCTGTATGGTTGACAGCTTTATTTCATCTTACTTCATAGTCTTCTTTTTTATACTCTGTTTATATGCATCCTCGTTCTATCAACCTCTGTTTAGATGCATCTTTCTTTCAACCTCAGTTTATGTGTATCTTCGTTCCATCAACCTCTGTTTATATGCATCCTCCTTCTTTAACCTCTGTTTAGATGCATCTTTCTTTCAACCTCAGTTTATGTGTATCTTCGTTCCATCAACCTCTGTGTATATGTATCCTCCTTCTTTCAACCTTAGTTTATATGTCTCCTCGATCTATCAATCTCTGTTTATATGTCTTCTTGTTCTATCAACCTCTGTAATTATGTGTACTTCTTCTTTCAACCCCAGTTTATATTTCTCCTCGTTCTATCAATCGGTGTTTTAAATACCCTCCCCCCCCCCCTCTCAAAATCAGGGCCGGCGCTGTACGGACTTAGGCCGGCGTTGTAGTACAAAATCTATCCTTTGACCAGCAAGGCAATTCATAAATTGCAGTAGGATGAGGGACTCCTCATCACTGGCCTTGTTCGGAAAAAATCAAATGTTTATATACTATATTAATACAGTATTATGCAGACCTGTTTACACCCCCGTTTTCGCCGTAGTAGCTTCGTTCTTAAGCCTAAGCCTAAGTCACTACGACGAGCCTTAAAGTTTCGGGAGGTTTTTCGTTCGTTTGATTTAATTTTAATTTTAAAAAATAAAAATTGGGGTGTTTTCCGTAAAAAGTTACCGCGTTTTGTGTGTTAACACCGTAAGCGATGAAGCAAGAATAACTGTGATTGGCCCTTTGCGGTCTCGATCTCAATAGACCAACCAGAATATTATCGTTTAGAGATCTGCTTTTTTAATACTAAACTGCCAGTTTGCTTGCTTAAAAACTTTTTTTCTCATCTTTAAGAAACAAGTCGGAAGACCAGAAGACCAGATCTTGTCCATTTATTATTATTGCAAAACAGCCCCCCCCCACCCCCCCCCCCCAACCGCCCCCCC